TTCTGTGGGCTCAGACAGACTGGGACAGGATAGAGTTTGCACTGCACCACTGCTCCTGTGTGCTGGTGTGCAACTCTGTCAGCCTAAAAAAAAGCCGCTTTGATGGGGAGACATGGATAGAATGGAGGAAGTATTATTCTTAAGAGACAAAAAATGTACTGTACTTTGTGAGAAAAATGAGTAGAGAGACAAAAAAAGAAAGACGGAAAGCCCAAAGGTTAACTCTGAGCGGCGGAGACGAGGGTGGAGAAGAAAAGCAAGAAGTTGAGAAAAGAGAGGAATTAAAGAGAGGTGGTGACTAAACACAGCTCAGGGTTAAGGTGAGCTGTGCTACTATGTAAAAAGAAGAAAGTGATTCATGTTCTTTCACCACTCTGACATGAGCGAAAAGGTCTCTAAAACATCATTAGCTAAAACTGAATTATTCATTCATGACTGCTTCAACACTTAACCAGGTGGGAACATCTGTATGCGTTACATGGCAGATCAGTAGCTGAGGTCTGTAAAATAAGCTCTCCAAGCTACGTATACATGATATACTATTTCTGTATCATAGTTTTAAATTTTTCATCTATATGAATAGCTGACGGATGACTATTTTCACTGTAGAAATCATGGTGGTCAAAAAAATAAATAAAAAAACACTATGGGCTCTATTTTAACGATCTAAGTGCAAAGTCTAAAGTGCATGGCACAAAAACATTAGGAGTGTGTCCGAATCCACTTTTGCTATTTTAAGTATGGAAGAATATGGTCTGTGCCCTGGCGCATGGTCTAACGCCATGGCACTTTCACTATTTACATGGCAGAATTTGTAATTGGAAAAACGTTATGCATTACTAGAGAGAAAACAGTTAAACAGACCATCTACACAATGAGCCTCCTCCATTCGGCCTTTTTACTTTACTCCTTTACTAACGTGGAGTAAGGAAACAGTGGAAAATCCATCCATTAGCCTACATATTTAATTTTAAGCACTAAGATTGGTTTTCTTCAAAATTATTGCTAAATTCAGATCAAATTTTCAGCAAACGAATAAATAAACAATAATAACAAAGTGTGGTCAAAAAATAAAAGTAAATAAAAACACCTAAACCCACTTCCTATTCTTATGCCCCAAATGGTGATGCATACGTCTCCAAAATCCAACATCTCTCCGAGATGAAGAAATGGAGGTAGTTTTGGTAAAACTTTAGAAAAATGGTCCATTAGTTCACGTTAGTTAATATATTTACTTACTTTAACCAAATTTGAATGATCGTGTAAAGCATTTATTAATCATAGTTTAACATTAACTAATGCATTATTAAAATCCAAAGTTGTTAGCATTAGTTAATGCACTATGAGTTAACATGAACTAACACTATTTAACTTAAAAAACATTAACTAATGTTAACAAAGAGGAATAAATACAGTAATAAATGTATTTTTAATTGTTTGTTTATGTTAGTAAATACATACACTAACATTAACTAATGGACCATTATTGGGTTTTAATATTTATGTAGAAATTAATAATTTTTTAAACATTTTAACCCTTTTTTCATGCGTAAATATATTTGTTTATTGCTGTACATCTTCTGTGTATTAAGCAAAGTGTAAGTGTTTGGACCCCCATAGGCGTATAACTAAGCGCTCTGTGCTGGGCTTTAGAGAAGCTTTTAGTTGGTCAATTGCACAGCCTATTTCAGTTCCTCAAAATCACCCCAGCAATGTGCCTTAACACACCTTCTTTTCAGATCAGCACGCCCCTGAGTCCACAAAGTAGCGCAAATGGATTTGCTATTTAAACATTGTGGCGGAAAACAGAAAAAAATACTATTGCGCTGGTGTGAAGGTTGCAACAAATCGTGAAAGGGCCCTATGTGTTCACATGCATTTTTATTATTTTTTATTTTTATTTTTTTGGTCATGGTTAATTAGATTTTTTTATTTTGGACCAAAAAAGTCATTATGGTTTACAAAAGGCACCTGCTAAAATGTCATTTGAGTGTTTGTACACACACAAAAAAAAATTGTCAGACATTTTTATAGCAAAAACAATTTTATAACTTAAAAAAATAGGCTTACAATCACACTACTAAAATCAATTGTAGTAATGAATTATTCATTCATTTTCTTTCAGCTTAGTCTCTGATTTTTCAGTGGTCACCGTAGCAGAATGAACCACCAACTACTCAGGCATTTGTTTTTACAAAGCAGAAGCCCTTCAAGCCACAACCTAGTACTAGGAATCAGTAATGAATGTTTTACTAATTAATTGTTCTTTCAATCTTTTTCAATTTTGTGTCATAATTAATTATTAAAAGCTATCTTTTGACACTTTTTTTCCACTACGGTTACTTGAATCATTAAATGAGACACCTGCATTTAACGTGCTGGAAATAAACTATACTTATTAACACATACAAAGCAGGTGCATTACTACAGATCTGACATATCATTCAGTGATATTCACTACAACAAATTAAATCAGAGCTAGGAGCTGCTTAACTGTCATTCTAAATTAGCATACGAGAATCCGATTCTCTCTGAAATGTCTTTCCTCAAAGCATTGGGTTTGTTGCATTCATTCAGCCATCCACCTTAACAAAGACACCGCTGGTTTATTCAACGGTGACCGCATCCTTCACTACAAAGCACTAAATTACTTTTATTAGATTAGATAAGCAATTAGGCAACTAACAAAGTAAATAAAGCTCAAGGGCTTCAACCAAACGCTTCCAAATGGAATTAAAGACAAATTAGCTTATTGACAGGAGAAATTACGCCACTGCCGGGATATGCAAGCCTGTATTTTTTTCACTCCCTTGACGCCGACGAATAGAGACAGACATTTCGCTTGACAATAATACTGAAGATTATTGCATTCACAGAAGGTCTTGGTTTCCAAATCTGCCTGCAATGAATGAGAGTTAAGAAAGCAGATATTTAAATCTCGCTCAGCGTAGTGGGAAGCACTAAAGCTCTTAATCACTGCAAGCCATAATAAGAATCCACCCCACAATGTCAGGACGGCTGCGTTCGACTATGCCACCATCCCTGTTAAGCTAACTTCCCATTTGGACTCTTAACCTTTCCTGCTGGCCATACTGTGGAGCATATGAGCCCCTTGCGCTTCATTATAGTTCCTTCATCCACCCTCAGAACTCCTCGACACCATTTTAATGAAACCTGCCTATTCATAGCAATGGAAATGGCTGGATTTACACAAAGCAAAAGGATTACGAAAGGCTCTCTAGCCATTAACTAGTTTTATTTCATTCTCAACTAAAAAAAAAAAAAAAGTTCTAATTATAGTCTGTGGGACCAATTGTGTCCAGTCTCCTGGGTTGATCTGTGTTACATTAGTTCATCTAATTCAAGCCATAAAAAGCCTTGAAGCTCGTGGTTTAAAAGAAGACCACATGAGAAAACCAATAAAAGACTTGCCGAACGCCATAAAGCAGTGTGATATAGATGAATGGAGTGAGGTATATATGTAGGGCAAATATCTCAAGGTCAAACCCAGACAGAGCCGTATATTCCTCCAAAGGACACAGCTGATATCTGCAGATCGCAGGTGATAATGGTTTTACAAAGCAAAGCTGGTTGTTTAATTAACCAGGCTTAACACATTTAAAGGGAATTCTGTTTGATTAAGCAGGATAAGAGCTTATATGGGAGGGAAGAAATAAAACAATAGACTACTGGATCAAAATGAAGTGCTTCTTTTATCAAGCCCGAATCAAATATGTAGCAAAAACTGAACTACAAGGCATCATCACAGACTGACACCAATAGCGGCATTGCAAACATGTCAGAAAATTGTCATTTTACTGAATTATTAAGTTGTGTTTTTACCAGCAAACAGACTGAATAGGTTAGATGAACTAAATTCCTGATTTGAAAAACATAAAAAAATAAATTAAACACTTTATTTTTGATCAACAACAACATTGTACTGAACTGACACTGTATTAAGCTACTGTAGTGGCCATTATGAACTTTGCTGCTACAAAACACTGCATCGATGTACTCTCTAAGTTCTAAGCAACCATCATCTCATGTGTTTCCATTTTGTCAAGTTCTGTGATTGTCTTGTGTGTTGTTAGCGTCTCGTATTGCATCGTAATGCTGACAAGACCATGAATTTAAATGTAATCAGACAAAGCAAGCATTTAAAACAAGTATGCTGTGCTCCACTTGAGAATTCTTGTAAATGTCAGTCAGAACGGACAACTGCGAAATGAATAATTGATTGATTGAATGAATGAATGATTTTAATGAATTGATAAATGAATAACTGATTGATTAAATGAATTAATGAATGACTAAATTAATTATTCATTGTTTAAATGAATAAATGAATGAATGAATAAGTGAATGAATGAATGTTTGATTTATTGATTGATTGAATGAATGATTTAATAAATGAATGCATTGATTAATTAACTAATTAATGATTGATTTTAAAAAAGCATTGAATATATTATTGATTGAATGAATGTTTAATGTATTGATTGAATGAATTAATTAATTAATCAATGATTGATTGAATGAATAAATTAATGATTTAAAAAATAGTTGTTTTATTGTTCGAATGAATGACAGATTGAATTAATTAATGATTGAATGAATGATTAAATACATTATTGAATGAATGATTAAATGAATGTTTGATTTATTTATTGAATTAATTATTTAAGTAATTATTGATTGACTAAATGAATCATTAAATAAAGTATTGGTTTAATTAATTAATGATTGATTGATTGAATGAATGAATGATTAATTAAAAAATTATTGATTTATTGATTAAATAAATGATTGAAAAAATTAATAAATAATTTAATGATTGATGGAATAAATTAATGAATAAAGGATTGAGTTTATGTTTGGTTTATTCATTGAATTAATTAATTAATTAATGACTGAATGAACGAAAAAAAATGCTGATTTATTGAATGGATGAATGAATGAATGAATGGATGAATGAATGAATGAAAAAAATGCCTTACCTTTGCTGGCACTTTCAACATGCTCAAGCTCGTCAGGGAACTTCAGCATCTCAGGATATTTTTCTTCACATTTCTCGGCCAGGAAATGCAGAAGGGTTGTGTTCTGGTCTGTAGACTTTGTGTCACGAAGCTGTGGAGAAAATGCATTAAGTTCCACTGTTAATATAGCAATTTTAATGATACACACTTTAAAAGCAAACAAGAACTTTGAACAAACTTTTCTAGATGTAACAGGACAAGTTCATCCAGCTGATTCAGGAAAAAAAAAACAGGGCAGGATAAAATACCATGAACACCACACATATAACATTTATACTCAATATAATGTAAAATGATGATAGATAGATAGATAGATAGATAGATAGATAGATAGATAGATAGATAGATAGATAGATAGATAGATAGATAGATAGATAGATAGATAGATAGATAGATAGATAGATAGATAGATAGATAGACAGATAGATAGATAGATAGATAGATAGATAGATTTTAATTATGAAATACAGTCAAAACATGAACTCGAGCAGGATTTCATCATATATGTATGCATCGACAGCACTTGAAGGTGTTTGCACAGAAATCTGACAAATAGGTGTGTCAATAAAGTTGAAATTGGCTTGAGCCGAGTGCACAGAAGCATATTTCCCCCTGTTTACTTATTTACCACGTTTAATTTGAAAAGGAGCTTTCCCCCCCAAACCACAACCACTCTATGTAGAAGATTAAGGTGACATGAAAGAAATGAAATATTTAGATCAATACACACCACTCACACTTTTGCTGCCGGCTGCTGTGGTGTACACAATACAAAGTCTGGATTCCATCTTAACATCAGTCCATTTCAAACACCAGACAAACCACCGCAAACTCACAGCAATTCGTAACTTTTAGAGTTAGTGGTTTATTCGTATGAATTTGTGTGATATCATTTGTAAATTTTAGTGGGATTTGGTCAAGCCAGAATGAGAAGTAGGTATAGGGGTGGGGTTTGGTGCCATGCCTCCCTTTGAAAAAGCTTTTTAAAGGCTTTTATATGAACTAAATCATATTCATTTGCATAAATTGGACACTTTTCTGACAATAAGTAAAACAGTTTCATTTATTTGTAAAAAAAAAAAAAAAAAAAGAAAAGAAAATAGTTCCAGTTCCTTAAAAAAGATCTGGCTGGAAAACTAAAACAAAGTTAAAGGTCCTGTGAAGTGCTTTGCACACTTTTCTAGTCGAAATTTGCCATTATGTCAACTGAAACATGAAGATAAGGCAGGGCATAGAGTAGCTCCTCCCCCTCATAAAAACAGCTAATAGTGTTTCTTTTTATCACAGCTCTGCCAGTGAGAGTGATTGAGATCAAGCGCATGACATGAAAAGCACATGAGAAACATCTTTAAGGTGGAGGTGGGACATGTCAGAAGCTAGAGAACATTTGATTGCAGTGTTTCTCAATCACATTCCTGGAGGACCATCAACACTGCACGTTTCGGATGTCTCCTTTGTGTGATACACCCATTACAAGTCTTTTAGTCTATGCTAATGAGCTGATGATATGAATCTGGCATGTTTGGTTAAGAAGACCTGGAAAATGTGCAGAGCTGGTGGTCCTCTAGGAATGTGGTTGAAAAACACTTGGTTAGAAGATTTGATGAAAAAAATGAAGTATGACGTATTGTTGAAAAAATGCTGATCTATTTAGGTGGTAACCACAAACAGCAAGCTTTGAATGTTTATATCAGGTTTATATCTTCTAAACGCGAATATGATCACTGTTTTGGAACACACACTAGCTTATAGACATGCTTAAAGTCAGCATGAACCAAAATATGTGACCATTTTTTATCGTATGATCACGCAAGTCCTTCAGAAACGAACAATTAAATGAAAAAAAATAAATAAAAACATTAGCTGTGGCTTGTTTTTTCTACTGTGAGCTGATTGAGTGTAGTAAAGTAGGTTTTTCATGCAGAAAGATCAGGACAAGGAATTTGGAGGAGTTATTACAACTTAAGCCATTTCTGTTGGACAATCCAAAACTGACAGTTGGAGGGGTGTGGTTAAGTATGTTAGCGACAAATGTATACTTTTGAGTGTGCAACAGAAGAGTATGCAGGCTTTAAGACATACTACTTCCTCGTTAACAGATCGTTGTGTTGCTTAGTTATGAGCCCTGTCAATCATCCACACATCATCCACATTTCTTTCATATTCAATGTACAACGTTATTGGAGAAGCAGCAGAAGGAGAACCTGCCATTCACGAGTCTGTCATGCAGAGAAATCTCCTCAGGTCTTTGGATAATTATGCATTCAGATGTTAATGTCAAAACAGGTCTTTATATAAGGTCAGTACTGTTTAGCAGCTAAAATATAACGCAGAAAATAAAAGTGAAATATTTTCCAGTGGGATAGATATTAATTAACAATCATACAAACATCTTTACAGAAGCCTCTCTACTTGACGATTGGTCTCGCGCGTCCATCATGCTTGTAGTTTATTTACACTTTTCACCCGAATAGGAACGCAGCATGAGAATTTAACTGAAAACAAACAGAAAGTGCATTTTCAGATATAAATTTTAGATTTCGAAGGCAAACAATTTTTTTTCTTAATAACATGCACAAATTAATTGTTCACCACAAAACTAGCCATATCATGTGTACTTTAAAACTAACATAATGATAATAGCATCTAGGGTGTCACAGTGGTGCAGTTGGTCGCACGATCGCCTCACAGCAAGAAGGTCGCTGGTTCGAGTCTCAGCTGGGTCAGTTGGCATTTCTGTGTGGAGTGTGCTCTCCATGTTTGCATGGATTTCCTTATAAACCATATGCTGCATAAAACATATGCTGGATAAATTGGCGGTTCATTCCGCTGTGGTGACCCCTAATTAATAAGGAGACTAAACCGAAAAGAAAATGAATGAATGACTAGCATCTAACCTGCCTTTAACTAACCTACTTTAACCAAGTTAGTTAAAAAAATCCCCACAACAGTGTTTTTAAGTGAATAACAAAAGTTACACACTTCTTAACACTTTTTTTTTTTTTTTTTTTTTTTTACAAAGCAAAAACAAGGTCCACTGGTGAAATAAATCTATCGCTTGAGCACTAGATATGATAAACCAAATGTGGAGCCGTGTTGCTCTTTGTCTCCCGCTCTCCTCCATTTGGAGAGGCATGGCTGCAGGCCCACATTAAGCAGTGCGCTGGGGCTGGGTGACCTCTTCACCCTCTCAGACTCAAACAGATTGTTTGCTGTCAAGCCTAGACTCCAGGAAGGCTGCTTTCGCACAGAAGATGGCTGCTGAGTCCCGCAGCAGAGCCGGGGAAGGCAGAATGAATCCTCAAGCTGGACTGCACAGCAGATGTGATATTAACCTTTACACAAACTGATGGCAAACTTACGACAGCTGGCACACTTCCCCGCTACACATAATGTCTGCCATAGATTTTCTCTTCCCAAATGTCTCTGCGGATACAGAGGTGAGGAATTGGCTTTCTGCTGGAAAAAAATGTGGCAGGTACGATGAGGTAAATTAATAAATGGCTGCAGTGTTTTTGCCTTTTCTCTCTTCATAAATTATAATGGGTGTGTTTGTCTTAAACAAATGAGACAGGAGCATTGGACCAAATGTAATATAAAAGTCAAAAAGAAAACAAATTGGGAACATTACAACAACACCGATCATGTGTGATTATTACAAGGTGACTTGATGGGGAAAAGAAAAGTCTTTTTAAATATAAGAAAGAGAAATGGATTTTATAATCGATGCAACCTCTGGAAATGGCTCATTTACAAACTGTCAATATACAATGAAAATATACTGAAATGTCAATACTTAAAAGAAAGCTGTAGTGTACCTTTTCAAAAAAGCAGAATACAAAAAGCAGACAATTTACAGTTTTTCTCAGTCGCTTTGGTGCAATTCTAAAACTATTTACATTTGCACAACAGTTAATGCATTTCTCAAAACATTTGTGCACATCACAGTAGCAGTTTCTCATTCCTTCCAACAAATTGCAAATGCTTTTGAACATGCATCAATTGCTTTAATACAACTCTCTGTTGTTTTATAACATTATCATTTGCTTATGTCATGTCAGTCAAAAGGAACTTAACTTGTGAATGCTGAATAGTCATTCCATAGAAAACTAATATAACTAGTCCTCATTTCATCACTTGAGTCATTAAATACAAAAATGTTGAACTAGTTCTCAAAATCTGTCAAGCAATTTTATTTAAAAAAAAAAAAAATAATAAAATAAAATCCTTTTTGTTTTTCTGAAAATGTCTTCTAAATAGAACATTTCACAAATGATTTAACAACCTATGTGTGTTGTAGGTTCAGTTCCAATTTGTACAGCAATATTGTTTACAGTTGTGCACGGCTCTACCCAAACGAAGTTTATGTTTGTTGTAAATAAGGGTGTATTTATTCTTTTGCACAATACTGTGAATTAATTAGAATTGCAAAGAGTAAATGCAGTAAAAATGCAGTATTTTTTTTTCAAAGTGATTTTAAAACATATTTTAAATTATCTGAAGGCAAAGCAAGGTTTACAGAAGCTGGAAATACATTTACTTTGATAGATACATATACATATAAAAAGGAAAACCGTCTATAAAATCACTCTTTAGTAAGAAATGTCATACTCTTTTTGTGTTTTAACATGTGTTTAGATATCCAACTCAATTAAAACCTAATCCATACATTTAATCTAAAGTTTTCTTTTAAAAACATCCTGCCATTATCAGCGTGCAATGAATCTACATTGAATCTACATCCACAGGTTGTATCCTTCACTACATGGGAAACAAAGGACACATTTTGAGGCTGCATTTGAAGGAGCCATTTAATTTCTTTGAAATGAGACAACCTTTGTCGCGCTGCGATGATGAAGCACACTTCAAATGCAGCCACTGAAAATGAGACACAGCTTGTATATGTTTCTATTCAACTCTGAGACATATTTAGTATGGTAATGAACAGTGGTGGGTTTAATAGTGCTATGAATAAACTCTGTTACTAACAGTGATACTTTATTCAGTAACAAGTAATCTATAGAGTTACTGTTTCCTCTGTCACAACAACGTTGCCATTACTGACCATAAAATGTGCATTACTATAGTTGA